AAAAGGCTAAAATCTTTTTCTCTGAGGTCTGGAATAAGACAAGGGTATTTGCTCTCATCACTTGTATTCAACAAACTACTAGAAGTTTCAGCCAAAGCAATTAGGCAAGAGAAAGAAATAAAAGGCATACAAATATGAATAAAGAAAGTAAAATTTCTATTTGTAGATTCTATGATTTGATGTATAGAAAAATCTAAGTAGTTTACTAAAATACTATTAAGAACTGACAAGTCAGTAAAGTTGCAGCATAGGAAATCAACATAAAAATCAGCATTTTTATGTACCACTGATGACATTGCTAAAAATGAAATCATGAAACAATCCCATTCACAATAGCTAAAAAAAAAACAACCTAGAAATAGATTTAATTAAGAAGGTAAAAGACCTCTATAAAGAAAATTTTAAAGTTCTGATGAAAGAAATTTAAAGAGAGAAACACAAAAAAGTGGAAAGACTGGCTATGTTCATAGATTACAAGAATTAATATTGTTAAAATAGCCATACTTTCCAAAACAAAACCCTAAAATTTATGGAAGCACTGAGATCCTGAATAGGCAAAGCTGTCTTGAGTAAAAAGAACAAAGCTGGGGCTTACTATATCACAAAGCAATAGTACCTGGGTGTGGTTGTGCACACCTGTAATTCCAACACTGAGGGAGGCTAAGGCAGGAGGATCACAAGTCCTTTCTGAGCAACATAGCAAGACCATGCCTCAAAATAAAAGAGGCCTGGGGATATAGCACAGTGAGCAAGTCCTAGGTTCAATTCTCAGTACCACTACCAGCGAAAAAAATAATAATAATCAAAACAGCATGATATTAACATAAAACACCTACGCATACTGATGGAACCAAACTGAGTATGTAGAAATAATCCCTCATGTCTCCAGCCAGCTGATTTTCTACAAAAGATGCTAAGAAAGTACATTGAAGAAAGTCTTTTCAATGCATGGTGTGAGACAGTTCGGGTATTCACATGTAGAAGAATGAACCTATGGATCCGGGGACTTAGCTCAGTGGTTCTGCCACCTGCCTCGCAAGCGCAAGGTCCCAAGTTTGATCCCCAGTACCCCCAAAAAAGAATGAAGCTAGACTCTTATATCTCACCAGTTTAAAAAAATCAACTCAAAATGGGATTAACAACTTCAATGAGTGGTTTTGGCATATACCTCAGTAATAGAGCCCTGGGTTCAATCTCCAGACTTACATGTAAAACCGGAAGGTATGAAGCCACTAGAAGAAAACATAGGAGAAAGCCTTCTGGACATCTGAATGGGCAAGGATTTTTTTAGACAAGAAAATCACAGGAAACAAAATTAAAAAGAGATGGGTATTGTATCAACTGAAAGCCTTCAGCACGGCAAAGAAGACCATTATCAGAATGAAGAAACAACCTGCAGAATAGAAGAAAATATTTGCAAGTTATACATTTAACAAGGGATCAATATCCAGAATGTATAAGAACTCCAAAAACTCAGTAGCAAAAAAGTAGTACTGGCAAGGACCTGAAGAAAATGTCTTTGCACACTCTTGGGGGGAATGTAAATTAGTTTAGCCATTATGGAAAATTATGGAGATTCCTCAAAAAATCAAAAATAGATCTACCATATGATCCAGCATACTTACTGGGTATATATCCAAAGGAAATGAAATCAGTATGTGAAAGAGACATCTGAACACCTTACTATTCACAGTTGCCAAGATAAGGAAACAACCCAAGTGTACATCAACTGACAAATACAGAAAATGTGTTACAAAGAAAATGTGATATATTGTGATATGCACAATGGCATAGTATTTCATCATTAAAAACTCAAAAAATATATAGAACAAAATAGAAAATAGATAACTAGGAAATAGAATTTCAAGTAAGTCCCCAAATTACCTATTCTGTTGTTTAAAAAATATTTTAATATATATATGCTAATTTGTTTCATTTATACTACTAGTTTCTCTTAGTTCAGTGAAAAGGTTTTATGCTATTATTTATTTCTTCTTTGTAAGAGAGAATCTTTTACGTCCATTCCTTGTACTCCCTAACAAGTTTGAAGATAATGATAAATAGTATATTAACTATTGTTATTTTCTTTTTGTTATGAAATTTTGTTTTATATTTTCATAAAATAAAAAAACATTGTGTAGTCATTTGCAAATAGAATTGGGATAGAGTTGGGGTCATTATATTAAGCCAAACACAAAAAAACAAATACTGCATGCTCTCCTTTATATATATGGAGTATAAAGTTGATCTCATAGAAGTTGATAGTATAATGATGGTTACCAGAGGGTAGGGGGAGAACAGAGGCAGGGAGGGATGGAGAAATACTGACCAAAAGATACTAAGTAACAGATAGGGGTAAGAAACTGATGTGGTATTGCATAAGGTGAATATAGATAACATTTATGCAGTGTACATCTGAAAAAACTAGAAGATGCTGAATGTTTTCACCATGAAGAAATGGGATAGATGATTGAGGAAATAGATATCTTTAATATAATATCAACATTACACAATGTTTACATATGTTGAAACGTTACATGGCACCCCATTACTATGTTCAATTTTTATGTTTTTATGTATCAGCTAAAAATAGTAAAAGATTTCTACTTTTTCCTCTCGGAATTATTCATTACATAATTATGCAAAAAGGCCTCTACTAATTTTGTGAATCTTAATGCTGACTTTTATGAATTTAATAATAAGTAGAAAGTTAAGTAAAAAGAATACCTAAGCTTTGTTGTCAGGGATTTGCTACTTGTGATATTCTACTACACTGGACCATGATACTCAAGGCATGCACTGTTGAATGATTTAGTTACTTAGAATGTAAACATTTTCCCTAAAGACAGAAGAAAAGTGTGCCCTTCAGAAATATTTGCTTTTTCTTGCTTTTATAAATTTTATTCTGTGGAAACTATCTTGATGAAGAGCATTCACTTAAATAGTAAATCAGACTGTTGTAATAAAATAGTTTCCTCTCGTGAACTATAAGTAATTACTGTTTTAGTGACACTAATACATTTTTAAAACATGTTAGAGTTAGGCTAACCCTTTGGTTAAGTTTCTGTTTTCTTCAAATATATTTTTACAGCCTGGTCTGAAAGTCAAGGTTAGGGAAGTCAGTGACTTTCATCTTTAAATTGAAATTTACTGCTTAAGAAAGGCCGACAATTTAACAGCTCTTGTGATCAAAGTCTTATGTTATAGATAGGTATATTGTGTCCCTTAACAGTCCAGGAATACCATCCAATTTACCTGCTCTTTTTCTCTACAGGGGTCATAAATCATTCAGTTATTTAGTAACTTCTTTATCTCACTGTTGGCCTGGAAGGTGATACAGACTCAAGGAAAAGGATCTTTAGCCTCCAGCTGTTCTTCTGTCACCAATGTATTTCTCTCTCCTGTTTCCCTCTCCATAGGATTCATCGGGTTTTCTTTTTCTTCCATAGATTTACAATGTATTATTTATTATTCTATTTCTGTAATTTTAATGTATTGCTTTACTTTTTTTACATTAAGTGTACATTTAAACATCTCTTCTCAGGGTACAAGGCCCTTAGAAAGTTCTACTTTAATTCTACTTCGCCCTTCAATTTTATCTTTACTCATCTAGTCTTTGGATTTTAGCTTCTTTTTCTGTCTCACAAATTAGTTGTCATTACTATGTTACATTGTCAGTACCTTAGAAACCCACATGTTCACCAGTTTCTTTCAGTATATTAGTTACACATATTGGTTGAAAAGCTATATGACTCTAGTAACAGAAGGAAAGAGAATAAACCAGGAATGCAATATAGCTTAGCAAGACATCTTCATTAAATGCCACTAACAAAGACTGATGCCTCATAAACTATATCTGGTTATCACTTGGAATTGGATTACTTTCCTATATCTGATCATATTAAAATTACTTCAGTAGTGGCTGGGGATTTAGCTCAGTGGTTCCGCCACCTGCCTCACAAGCACAAAGTCCTGAGTTCGATTCCCATACCAAAAAAAAATTACTTCAGTAGGCAATTGTGCCCCTACTGTGTTTCTAGCCTAGGATAGGGTATACTAGTGATGCAACAGAGGAAAAGAAGATTTTCTTCCTCTGAAGCAGCCTATACTTTATAAATATATGTTTATGAACACAACATCTGCAGGACCTAGTTGGAGCTCATTGATTTTAAACCAGAAATGTTAGCTGTTACTTTTTTTGTTTGTTTGGGGTCCTGGGGATCAAACCCAGAGCCTCACTGATTAGTACTAAAGCATGTGCTCTGCCACTGACCTATGACCCGAGTCCCCCAAGATTTTAGTTCTGATTTTAAAAAAGATTTTAGAAATATTTTCCAATCCAGTTACTGTTTTCTTCTGAGAACAGATATCTGCCATGAATCTTCATGGACACAACTGGTAGAATGATTTCTTACATACTGATTTGTGATATGCTGATTCATATTATTTTACTTTGTTCTTTAGCAAAAAAATAGTATACGTTTATATTTAGCTCTGTCTCATTGCTTCTCAGATTTTAAAGTTTACTTTTATCTATCTGTGACTAAATGAACCACTTCAAAATGTTCTTACTCTTCATAACAACTAATACTTATGTACTTGTGTGGGTCAGGTTCTAAGCTAATCAATCTGATATATGGATTATCTCATTTAATCTCACAAAATCCTGTGAGCTAGGTACTATCATTGTCCTGATTCTACAAATTAGTTTATTGACATTTAGAAAGATATCAGTTATAGCTGTTCATTTGACATTTCACTTCAGTACTAGTAATTGAAGCTGTTAACAAAAGATTCAAACTTTTTTTCTGTCTTTTTTTCTCCCTCAGAAGAAATTGAGCTTCCTGGGAAACCGGACTAATTTGCTAGAGTATATTCAAGGATTAAGAGGCATAATGGATTTATAGTTGTTGAAACCTGGAGGCAGACCTCAGAGTCTTGAGCAGGTTTTTAGTATAAAGTTGCTCACTTCTCAGGCAATTCTGTGCCATTTCTCTTAGGTTATAGAGGATCTCTTCAAGGCTACAACAATGATCATTCTCTCAAATTGTCCCGAAGATGTTGAACTCTGTCACAAATTCATAGCTCCTGGCCACAAGGTAATTAGTTTTGTGGATAAAACCCAGTACAGCTATTCTTTATGTTAATTATGTTCAATGACTATAATTACATTGTAAATTTTTTCTTCTTTGTCTTTTCTTACCAAGGACAGATTAGAACATATGCTAAAAAACAACTTTTTAATGTAAGTAGATACTTTTTTTTTCTGAACTTTGCTCATACTTTATCACTGTATTTATTACATTGAATTATAATTTTTTGTTTGTAAATCTGCTCACCATACTCCCCAGGTTTGAAGCAAGACCTATGTCCTAATTATCTTTATAGCTTTTGTGTCTGGCTCATAGTTGATAACCTATATCATCAGTAAATAAATTAATAAATCATAGCAAAATACATGAATTTAGTAATTATGAACTGTGTTACTGCAGTTCAGATTTACACAGTTCTCCCTCGATATCCACCAGGGATTGGTTTCAGGAAACTCCCTCCCCCAGTAGATACTAAAATCCATGGACGCTTAAGTGCTTTACATAAAATTCTGGACTGTTTGCATATAACCTAAGAAATCCTCCCATATACTTTAAATCACCTCAAGATTACTTACATACCTAATATCAAAAATAAGCCATTGTGGGCCGGGGATTTAGCTCAGTGGTTCTGCCAGCCTGCCTCGCAAGCACAAAGACCTGAGTTTTATACCTGGTACCAAAAACAAAACAAAACAAAACAAAATAAGCCAAAATGACTGTAACAGTTCTAATAGCATGATAAGATCCCCAAGAAGTTTAAATATCTGTAATGATAATATAGTCACATGGTTGGGGGGGCCTGTCACCTTAGAACTAAAATACTGGGCAACAATAACATGTAAAACTGGATAGGTATGTTCATAGTTGAAATGTGTTAATCCTTTTGTTGTTTGAAAGGAAGGGAAACATAGTGATTCACTTTAGACTAGTTAAGTCAGATAAACATGTTAAAATATTCAGAGTTGGCACTGAGAGCATACTAGAATGGTGATGGTATGTTCATAGTTGCTATCAAATTAATGTCATTAGAGTCAGTAGTGAGGTGGGAAATTGTGTGGCAGTACTCTGTCCACCAACTTCACCCTTCTGCTACTGTGTGCTCTTTAAAACACTGACTCTGAAATTTCTGAATATATAGGCATACCTGAATCTATCTATGAGTAGTCCTTTTAAAAAGTAAAGGAAAACAAATAAAAAACAGAGTACAGTGATTGAGTTTAATATTTACAAAACAGAAAAACAGAACTCCCTTCCCTCAAAAAAAGCAAACCGCACTGAGCTGAACCCAGACCTTTTCACTAAGCTATATCCCTAACCCTTTTTTTAAAAATTATTTTTTATTTTTCAAACAGTCTCCTTAAGTTTCTGAGTTTCCTAGGCTGAGTTTGACCTTGCAGTCCTCCTGCCTCAGCCTCCCAGAGTGCTGGGATTATAGGCATGTGCCACTATTCCCAGTTAGAACTTAATTATTTTAAGTTTCCTTTGTAATATGAAAGTTTGAAAAATACAGAGTATTTACCTTCATCATTTGGTCTCCATGTATTTGTGTGAATTTGAGGCAAAGGATGTCAATAATGATTTCTTTAGCTTAGCAGTTTTACTCCAACTTCAACAATGAAAAATTTAAGATATAAAGGTAGTTTGAAACTGTGTCATGCAAAATCAGTGTCTTTTTCCTTCTTTTCTGGATGCACTTTGGAAACTGTTTCTGGAAAGGAGAAGAAATATTATTCTTTTTATATGTCAAGAAAAATACTTAGTAGAGTGAGTTGATGATGACCGTTAAGGATATCCAGTGTCAGAACTATACAGTGGACCCCTTGACTTATGAACTCAATTCATTGGCAAGGGCTGGTTGTAACTCTAGTTAGTTGTAAGTCAAGACTATTTTTCCCATAAGAAATAATGAAAATACCCAAAATGTGTTCTGAAACTCCCAAAGCACCCCTTAACCTTTTCATAATAATAAAAAAAAGGTTGTACAATGTGTGTAATTTACCGGAAACACCCAATAATTTTCCTAGTGTATTCACCAAAAAGTTACAAAATGTGCCTAGTTTACCAGAAGCAACAATTTCATACTGTACTCACCATTAAATTTGACATCTTTGGCTTGCAGGAAGGGAAGATGAAATGGAAAGTGGTTATTGTTTGGAAGGAGAGTCCCCTTCCATAAGAATATAGGGAATCTGGCTCTCTGGTGTTCTTTCTCTCCTTGGGAGAGTCTGTAGCCCACTAGGAGCTGCTTCTGGCTCACTAGATCTCAACCTTTTCAGAACTAAAAACTGGTCTAAGATGGTCTGATTCTGTCTTTTCTTAAACACTTCTACAGTATGACATGACATTGTCATTAAGCAAGTGAATGCAACAATTGGCTTTTTTCTCTGCCTGAATGGGTCTTCTCTACAAATGTTTGTAGCTCTGTCCATTTTTCAGATTTCCTTTATTTCAGAAGAAGAACTTTGTTGCACTGATTGTTGATACTCCCCCTCCTCTTCAGAAAGCTCCTCAGCTGCCATTCTCTGTTGCTCAGTCAGAAGTTGCTGAAGTGCCTCTAGACAGTTCTTCTGAGTGTTCCTCTACCAGTTCCTCAACATCATCACTGTCTACCTGCAAGCCTATGGACTCTGCTATAGTGACAGTGTCATCAACCACAGGGTCAGTTGAAGGCTCAAGCTTCTCTACACAGCCTTCAAAGTCTCTCTCCTGTATAATTTTAGGCAACACTTTCTTCCAGACAGGTCTCAGTGTCAGAGAGACACTGGCCCGGGATTTCTCAATTAACTCCACACAGGAAAGGATGTTGTAATGTGCCTTCTAGAACTCTTTAAGGGTTAAATCGGTATCTGAGACCATCTGGAAACACTTAAGGAACAGTGCCTTGGTGTATAGCTTCTTAGTTAGCTATAACCTGCTGGTCCATAGGCTGTAGTAGAGGAGCTGTATTAGGTAGGAAGAATTCAACCAAGAGCCATGGGAATTCTTCAGCCAATTCTTCTTCCAAATCTCATGGGTGAGCAGGAGTATTATCCATGATGAGGAGAGCCTTGAGTGGTAAACCTTTGTCCTTTACATATTTCTTAACAGTAGGACAGAAAGCCTCCCTGATCCACTCAAGAAAAAGTACTGTTGTTATCCAGGCCTTTGCATTAGATCCCTATATGACCCCTAGCCTATTCTTCATGACTTTATGTTTCTGAGCACTCTAGGGGTCTCAGAGTGATAAATCAAGAGAGGCTTTTATCTTGAGGTCACCATTCACATTGGCACATAGCAATAAGGTTAGCCTATCCTTCATAGGCTTGTGGCCTGGCATTTACTTCTCTTCCTGGGTAATGTATGTTCTCCTGGGCATTTTCTTCCCAAAAAGGCCAGTTTCATCACAGTTAAAAACTTGATGAGAGCAAAAGCCATTTCTCTATATCATCATTTGGAAGTGTTGTATGTAATTTTCAGCAGCCCCTTTATGAGCACTGGCTGCTTCACCATGCCTATTTATTCTAGTTACCATGCTAGTTACACTTTAAAATTGTGAAGCCACTCCTTGCTGCACAAAATGTTTTGCCATTATCACTCATTGATGGATTATCCTTTACAAGATTCCATTTATAGCCCTAGCTTTTTCACAAGTTATAGACTCAGGCTAATAACCTGCCATCTGCCTTTTGTTGCTACACTTGATCTTAGCCAAAAGGCCGAGAAGCGATGATCTGCCTTTTGTTTATCCACACTAATAATAGCCTTTCTACCTCGATCTACCCGATGATCATGACTTACTAATTTGAGTAACACCTTTAGCAGCACTAGCTTCCTTTTGCAAATCTTTTCTTTGTAAGGATGTCGAGAAGGTGGATTTTGACATGCGGTACAAATTAGTGAGATCAGTCACACGAATGCCACTCTCACGTTTCTCTACAATTTCCGTCTTTGCTATTGTGACTGCTTTCTTTACCTTCCCTTCCTTCCTTACCTTCTTTTCTAGCTTTTTGGGGACCATCTTGATAGCAATAATCATAGCAATTATACAAAGCACTGACCAAAATCACATCCACAAACACCCACATCTAGGCTCAGGCTGACTGACATCCTGAGTCTTTGTTTATAACTGCACAGGAGTTGTTGCTGTATAGGCATCATTCAGGCTATAACTCAAGACTTTGGTCATAAGTTAAAACTAAAATTCCAGTCATAACCCAAGTTGTTCCAATGTGAGGCATTTTAGATTTAACTTACGAACAAAGTCTTAAGTTCCAACCCAGATGCCAGCTGATTGTGCTTCCAGATGGTCTCAAATACACATTTAACCCTTAAAGAGTTCTGGAACATTACAACATACTTTCCTGTGTGGGGTTAATTTAGAAATCCTGAGCCAGTGTCTCTCTAAGGACACTGCCGGTATATAGAAGAGAGACTTTGAAGGCAGTATGGAGGAGCCTGAGTCTTCAGTTGACCAACTTGAGTTACAACCAGCCCTCATGAAGAATTGAGTTTGTAAGCCAAGGTTCCACAGTAACTTGAACTTGAAACCATTATCTTAAATCAAGGTGTTAGGAGAGTGGACCAGAGGAGATATTTATCCTCGTAAGAGATATTTAGAGAGTCACTTTTTCTTAATAATGAAGCAGTAATGTACCAATGATACAAAATCCTACTGCTTTCCATTGTAACTGTTCTTAATGTTTCTCGGTGTAATTGGAAGATCATATAAAGAAATTGTGAATTAAAATAATAGAATGTGTTAATAGGCAAGAATTTAAAAGTCAAGGTACTGCAATCTTATAAGTGCAAATACTTTTTTAATGTTTGTATAACACATTACAAAAATTGATACATTTTGATTAAGTTGAAGTGATTCATATTGCTACCAAGTGGTAGAGTCAGGAAGAATTCAGAGCCCATTATCTTTTGTTTTGATTCAACATATGAAACTCGAACACTTTACGCATTGTATTATCAGTTAAAGCATAGACTTTAGAGTCAGCAGGTCAGGGTTTATTACTTAACTTTACTTGAGTGACCATTGGCGAGCTACTTATTCTCTCTAAGCTTCAGTTTCTCTTATGTAAAATAGTAATTTTTAAATTGTTGTTACTACTATGACTATGAATAACACAATTGTTACCTTAGAAATTACATATTATTTAAAACTAGGTTTTAATTTTATTAAAATTTCATCTTATAAAATCATCTGTCATAGGCCAGGGATGTAGCTCGGCGCAGTGCCTGCCTGGCAAGCACGAGGCCCTGAGTTCAATTCTTGGTACCAAAAAAGACCAAAAACGTCTGTCATTTAAACATAGCTTTGGGGTCCTTATTTGTACTGTAATACAAAACTGTATCCGATAAATTTTTGTTTTGTTTTATTTTGTTTTTTGGTACTCAGGACCTTGTGCTTGCGAGGCAGGTGCAGTGCCACTGAGCTAAATCCCCAGCCCTCCAATTGGTTTTTATAGGTATGAAATTCACTTTTCTTCACAAAACAAGTTTGTGCTGGGTAATTTATTTTTTGAGCTCAAAGATCTTCAAAAAGTTTGTAATTTATTTTTTTCATCCAAAGTACTGTTGCATTATTTTTCCTGCAGTTTGTAAGGTAAATAACATTTTTATTTGCTGTTGGTGCACATCAGTTTATATAACCCTATAAAAGGGGCCCAATATCTTTGACAATATCTTTCAGAACATATAAAGATTACAAATTTTAGCTAGGCATGGTGGCACATGCCTGTAATCCCAGCACTCAGAAGGCTGAGGAAGGAGGATCACCCGTGAGTGCAAGGCCAACCTAGGCTGCATAGTGAGTTCAAGGTTAACCTGAACTACATAGCATGACCCTGTCTTAAAAAACAAAAATTACAGATTTTGATGCAATTCTACTTCTTCAGGTACATAATTAGTGTATAAGAATTTTTTGTAATTTTAAAACAACACAGATTCCATCTTTCTCCAAAAAGAATGACTGTCATCAAGAAATTAAACGCTAGTAAGGTTGCGGGAGGAAAGGAACCCTTTTACGTTGTTGGTGGGAATGTAAACTGGTACAACCACTGTGGAAGTCAGTATGAAGATTCCTCAAAAAACTAGAAATTCCATTCAACCAGACTATTCTCCTAGGTATCTTCCCAAAAGAGTTAAAGGAGTCATATTACAATGATACACAGATACCCATGTTTATAGCAGCACAACTCATAATAGCTAAATCTTGGAAGTGGTATTATACACAATGTGGTATTTATACACAATGGAATACAACTCTGCCATAAAGGATAAACTTGAGTCATTTGTAGGAAAATGGATGAACCTTGGGAACATAATGTTAAGTGAAATAAATCAGACACACAAGTTTATATTGTATGATTTCTCTTATATGAGAAACCCAAAATATGAATAAAAATCAAAATAAAAGATAATAAAAAATAGGGCTGGGGATTTAGCTCAGTGGTTCTGGCACCTGCTTCACAAGTGCAAGGTCCCCGGTACCAAAAAAAAAAAGATAATAGAAAATAGAGAGATCTTTTGCAAATGAAAAGAGGACCAAGAGATGGAGGGAGGTGGAGAGGAGAGAAAGGGGAAGGGAATGAAGAAAAGAATTAAATGTGTTATGTACATGTACCAACTCCACACAAGGAATATAATCACTATCATATCACAAAAGAATTATTTGTAATAACATTAAATAGAAATATATAGTCATGATTTATAATAACAAAAAAATTGAAACCATCTGAAATATCCATCAATAAATGGCTGGCTAAAATATGTATGACACATCCACAAAATGGGATATTATGTAATAATTTTTAAAATGAAGTTTTTTATATACTGATAGATCCAGCAAGGTGTATTATTGAGTAAAATAAAGTATAAAAGAGTATGTATATTACATATATGCTGTTGCTGACATTCACTAAAAAGAGATTATTAATATTTATATATGCCATATGTATATATTTTTTCATTCCTCTAGAAGGATACACAGGAAACTAATAAGAGTGAATGTATGAGAGGAAAGGAACTGGGTGGCTACAGGACAGAGAAGGAAGGGAGACATATCATTTGTATGTAAAAACTATTTGTAATAGCATTAAATAGAAATGTATAATTTCATTTGTTTTTTCTGAGACAAGGTCTTGCTTTGTTGCCCATGCTGGTTTCCTACTCCTGTGCTAAAGTGATCCTCCCACCTCAGCCTCCACAGTAGCTGGCACTACAGGCACATGCCACCCTGCCTGGGTTTTGTGTGCTCTTTTCTACATATTGAGGGGGGTTTTTTCCACTGTATGGCTATAGTACCTGTTTCCACAGTAAAATTAAAACAAGTCCTTGATTTGTCTTCCTTTAGACAGGAGAATTTCTTGTTAAGAGAACCAATATTTTTCTTCAATATCTTATAGTGCTTAGAATATATTACTAAGTTCTCATGATGGCCTGAGAAAGTCCATATGATCTGATTTCTGACTGCTTTCCTATATAATTTTCTGGCATTCTTCACTTGTTCATTGTGCTTCAGTCACACTGACCTTTCTGTTCCTTCAGACTGTTCCTCACTTCAGACCCTTGTACTTGCTGTTCTTTGTGCCTACAATATTTTTCCTCCCACGTTTATGTAGTTCCATTTTTTCACTTGATACCAGTTTATCTTCAAATATCACCAAATCAGTGAGGCCTCTCTTGACTATTTTATCTAAAATGGCACCCTCAAACACCTTCTTACCCCAGTTCATTTTTCTTCATAGCGCTAATAGCTACCTAGCACCACCACCACCACCACTACTACTTCCTCCTCCTCCTCCTTCTCCTGTTCCTCTTTCTCTTCTTCTTTCTCCTCTTTCTTCCTCTTCTCCCCCTATCTCCCCCCCCCCTCATCCATCATGTCTTCATGAAGTCAGGGGCTTTATTTTTGTTACTATCTCTAGTCCCTAGAATAATGTGTAGCATCTAGTAGATGCCAAATTATATGTTTATTGGGTGAATGACACTTCTAGGAAATTCTGCTGCTCTTTCATGCTTAGTATTTCACACCTTTTTAATATGGCATTGGTATAACATGGATTTAAAGAAAATCTGTGCTTGCTGAAGTGACTAGCTCCTCTGTGTGCGTTACAAATTCATCAGGAATGGGGTTATTGACCAGCCACTTCTCTTCATGCAGATCAGACCTTCATAGGATTAGATCAGCTTTAATTCCTGATTACTCACAACCTCACAGACTATATGGGATAAGCTTATGTAGTTTTAAGATGACCTAGTTAAAACCAGGCCCATTGTGTTAAACCTTTCTCTGCTTTTCCTTTGTTTTCCCCCAGCATTTCTTACATGGAGGCCATAGAGATCTTAAAGAAAGCATCCCAGAACTTCACCTTCACCCCAGAGGTAGTATGTTGCGTTTGTGTGTACGTGAAATATGTTTCCCTCTTGTCCTTTGTTCTTATCTTACTTTATTAAGGGTCCTTCAAAATAATCTTATTTCTCTTACTAGACATGCCTAGTATTTTCTCATCTGTACATGGCCTTTTCCGGATCTTGTTGAACTACTTAGGATGAAAAATAATTTTGAAATAGAATTGTATCATTTGAAATAGCAGTGACTAAAGGGTTATAAACTAGTCCCTTGAGTTGAGGAAGATGAAAATGATGAAAGGGAGGTTATAATCATAGTGATAATCGTAGAAGTCAACTAGTTCAGTGTTTCCCAAAGTGTAGTCTGAATGATATTAAAAGGTGACAGACAAAGAAAAGGTTATATGATTAAATAAGTTTAGGCAACATTTTAACAGGGTTTTTTCTCAGTTGAATTTTATGAAGGCTTTAATTTTGAGCCACTCAAAATGGCTCTTTTTGAAGAATTTTATTTTTTAAATATTTATTAATAATTATATTCAAGGTATATAGTGTGATAATTTGATATATGTATACATTGTGTAATAATCACAATCAAATTAATGAACATAGCTGTCACCAGCCTTTCTATACATTAGAGCCCCAGATTTATTCATCTTATAACTGAAAGTTTGTGCACTTTGCCCTTTGCTCAACATCTCTCTATTTCCCCTAATCCCAGCCTCTGGCTGCCACTGTTCTGCTGTCTGTTTCTGAAAAAGAACTCCTTTATTTTATTTGCAGGGATATAGGTCCAGAGGGCCATGTGTTAGAGGCAAGTCTCATTTCTATTCCAGTCCTTTTTTCCTGCACTTAGGATATGGTCAGACAGGTGTATGTTCTCTGTCCCTCTCCTGCCACTGCCATCTCCCCCTGCTGCTACTCCTGGTGTTGCTTGTTTGCTCTTTGGTGCAGATTTGGTACCTTTTTTATGAAGCAACACTGATGCTCACAATGACCCACAAAAAGGAAGGAGTCAAAACTGAGAACAGAGATCATATGGATTTAATCATAAAATCACTTTTGTCTGTCATCTTTTAATATCATTCAGAATATTGAACTGAACTAATTGATTTCTAGAGTAATTACTAAGTAGCTAAGTTGCCTAACCAAGGCTCAATCAAACTTGTGATCCTATGGTCTCAAAATTTAAATATAAGTAAGAAGGGCTAGGGATGTAAGTCAGTGCAAAAGTCCTGTGTTCAATATCACTAAATAAATGAATAGATGCATATATACACATTAGAGCATCTAATATATGAGTTGACTTATTTTTAAAAATTAATCAAGAGGGCCGGGGATTTAGCTCAGTGGTTCCACTGCCTGCCTTGCAAGTGTAAGGACCTGAGTTCGATCCCCGGTATCAATCAATCAATAAAAATTTTTTTAAATTAATCAAGAAAATCCATCTAACCAAAGATAGACTCAGTATTAGGAATATTATCTTCCCTTATTTAATTTTCTGAGATTTAGGATCAGTAACTGTGAGAGGAGCTCTGGGCAATATTAATAAAAACCTGCAATTCTGAAGTACATTTTATCCCTTTGGAAAGTATACTTTGTTTTCCTGTGGGCTACAATTCAGCAGCTGAATGCTGCTCCCTGAGCTACAACTTTCATCTTTCCAGGCAGTTGGCTCAAAGTATTTCGCTTCAGTTTAGTCAGCTGTGTAACCTCAGCAGAAAGTTGTATACGTCACTGAGCCTCAGGGAGAGGAAGCCCTTGGAACTAATAGAAGTTATTTTGGGGTACTTAGTTGTGTTGCTTTGTCTTCTTTTATCATTAATTTTCTCTCATTGCAGTGGGGTGTTGATCTACAAACTGAACATGAGAAGTACCTGGTGAAGCACTGTGGCAACATACCAGTCTTTGTCACTAATTATCCATTAGCACTCAAGCCTTTCTATATGCGGGACAATGAAGACGGTCCTCAGCACACAGTAAGAAAAGACTAAATAAATTATTGTTCATCATCTTCAAGTGTGGGGTCCCCCCCCGGCTTAATTTTGTTTAGCTTTTGGCATATTTTTTAAAATGATGTCCATTATTCTTTTCATCTCTTAAAATGAAAACATTTTTCAAAGGGACCTCCTAACAAGCATCCCTAAAGAAGATCCCAGGGTTCTGTAAACATACTTCTTCCAAGGTGTCCTTCTTAGTTTAGCAGATGCAGATGTAGGTGAGTTTGGTTTGGTTTTTGTTTAAACAATTGAGAAGAAGTAGCTTAGAACTCTGTATAGTAGTAATACCAGGTGTGCTGTGAAGTTCAGTACTCATTAGGAGACTCCTGGGAGGGACAGCATGTGGGACCACAGATGTTGGCAGTGGCATGATCAGGCAGAGAAGCAGGCAGCTTAGATAGAATACTTGAGTTTCGGCTATAAATAGAATTAATAAGGCAAGGCAGCAGAGGAATCAAGGAGGTGTGGGCAGATCCTGCCTGTCACAGACCTCGTCTGTCTCCTCTCCATCTGCCTGTCTTGTCTCTGTCTCTGACCTCTTTAGCCTTTCTCATCTTCTGGGGTTTTTTTTTACCCTCAATTTTTAGTTGCTTTTTTGTTGTGACTTGCTTTTTCCCTTTTTTCTCTTATTCTTTCTCCTTTACTCAATTAGCCATAATATGAAATAAGAATATATTTTTACTTTTAATATACTTACTGAATAGTTACATATATAATATTACTTATAAAAGTCTGTGACATATATTTATCTCAATATAGGCCCCAAAACTAAACTTTTGTATCTGACGCTTTTCACTTGCCTATAGGTAAATACAGCAAACAAAGATCAGGTCCCACTAGTAAACAAAAGGCTCCCATCTTAAGTATACAAAGTTATCTGTTTGAATACATTTCCTGCTTTCTCTTAAAATATTAATAAAACAGTATTAGCCCCCATTTGCTACATTGAGTCACACACTACCATCTTATCTTATAATTCTGAAACAATTTTACAAAGAACCTTATTTTTTCCCCTATTTTATAAATGAAAAACTAGAGTCCAAAGCCCTTACCACCACACTCATACCTAGCAGCCCCACCTCCACACACAGTGCATTCTTCTCTTATAATATCTGGTAAGGGAGCACTTCGGTCATTCAATTTTGGGCTCCCTTAAGTTCTTTACTTAAGACTTTCTTTCTCTGTAAAGATATTTCTAGGTTACCAGCCACCATGAGCCTTTCTACAGCATTTAGAGAATTAGTGTTTATAGTTTCTATATGTTTTGCTTTGCTATCTCAAATTAAACTTCTCTTTAGGGTTGTAATACCATCAGTAATCACCTTATTAAATCCACAAAGCTTTAAGAGTCTTTATTTTACTTGGCCTCTCAGCACTATTAATGACTTCTTATTCTTAAAACCCTCTCCTCCCTTGCTTCTGTAACATTGCATGCTCTCAAGTGTTTTCCTTTCTCAGTGGTTATTCTTTCTTAGTCTCCTGTACAGATTCATTTCCTTCTACTGACGCATTAGACATTGGAATTTCTCAAGGCTTCGTCCTAGGTCTTCTTTTCTCTCCCCAAGTGATTTCAGCTTACTACTTGTGCTCAGATAACTCAGAAATATATATTTCTTTTCTTTTTTGGTACTGGGGATTGAACTCGGGACCTTGCACTTGCGAGGCAGGTGACAAGAAATATATATTTCTAATGCAGACCTCTCTGAGCTCTTAACCCATATGTCTTACTGCCTCATTGACTGCTCTTTATATTCCTCAAAGGCATCGTAAATATAGCATGTTAAAACTGAACCCATGACTTCTCTTTCCTTCTCCCAACCACATTTGATTGTCTGTCAGTATTCTCTGTTAATGAAAATTGTTTAACCCAGATACCTGCATCATCTTTGAAATCCCTCTCTCTCTCACTTTGTGTATACAAGCTATATTACTAAATTGTCATTTTTACCTCCTAAATCTCTCAAATCCATTTTCTTCTTTTCATTTCTACATTTACCTTTTTAGATTTAAGATATCTTCATTTCCTGCCTGGGCTACTCCCATAGCCTCTTAACTGCTCTTTCTACATCTACTGTCTGTTCACCCAAATAATTTCTCTAAATTTCATTGTAAGCTTTTAGAAAATGTAAATCTAATTATGTTATCTCCTGTCTTGGTTTTTCAGTGGCCTCCTATTTCTCCTAGGATAAGCCAGAGTGCTTTATATGGCCTCCAAGGCCAAATATAATCTAGCTGTTCCTGCCTGCTTGCCCATTGTACTGTGCTCGACTTTGCTCTTTCTGCCACATCCACACCACCTTTCTTTCATGACTTCAGACATACAGTGCTCCCTCCCATCTCAGAATCTCTGCACATACTGTTTTAAGTCAAGAATAATCTTCCTCACCTAAATAATTTTACTTATTCTTCAGGCTCAATCATTTTCTCAGAGGAACTGTTCTTGATCCTCCTGATTCAATTCAGAGACCCCTGTAAGGTGCTACAGTGGTGCCTTGTTAAGTTTCAGATCCAAAGCTGCTCTTAATCCGTCAGAACTTTTAATGCAGTTACAATTTTGTATTTATATATATCTGACTATTTAATTAATTACTCTTTCCTGTATGTCACAAGACTTGAGGATCTTGTTTCCACTCACCAGTGTGTATATCCTTCATGCCTAGCACAATTTGCCTGGGATGTAGCAGGTACCTAATATCTATGTGGAGAACGGATAGGTGATTTGATAGATGGGTGGGTGGGTGGATGGATGGAGCCCAACATAGTTTTAAATATATAATGGGTACATAATAGTAGCAACTTGACTTTCTGAAGATATTGATGGGATGCTAAGAAGAGCTTTTATTCTAAATTTTATAATGACAATGTAGCTTAAAGAAAAATCTAAGGGCCCTAGAATCAGATACTCTTGGGTTCAAGGCCAAGGTCTGTATTATATAAATTATATGATCTTAGATAAACCACCTAATCTCTTTGAATTTTAGTTTCTTGGTCTATAAAAATGAAGTGATAACATTCCTGGATTTCAGAGGATTAATTTAGGCAATATATGAAAAGCATATAGCAGAGTGTTTGGGGTAATAGTCAATAAGTGAGAAGCTGTCTGTCATTCTCTACATTGTAATAAAATCTTTATTGTGATAAAGCATAATGTTATAATTTGTGTGTGATCACATTATAACATGCTATAACATCAGAGTCCTTGAAAGGTAGTTCTTTCATATACTGTATTCACACTTCTTACCTCTAGAAATACCAGGAAACCTTCATTATAGCACAATCTCTTTGGTAATGTGGTCTCAAACTATGAAAACATTATAGTGGGACATTAGTGTGCCTCCATACCTTATATACTAATACATATGTATATATGTGTATATATATATACAAATATGATACATATATATGTATAGTGTGTGTATATATGTACACACACATATATATACTATAGCATATAGCATTTTATTACAAAAGTATTCAGATATTTAGTAAGCTACTAACATTAGTCATATATTATATTAGCAACCTGGATTTCTTTTCAGTATAGTTGTGCAAAGTGTCTGCTTCTACTCCATTATTTTTTTCAGTGGTGAATGCACAGACTTTGGGGCAGATGAGTAAATTCTATTTTTATGTTAGTAAGATTCTAATAACTGGGCCGGGGATTTAGCTCAGTGATGCCACCACCAGCCTTGCAAGCGCAAGGTCCCGAGTTCGATCCCCAGTACCAAAAAAAAAAAAGATTCTAATCACAGGTTGCAGGAAGGTTTGCAAAGTTTCTCCAAGGGATAAAGTACAGTCTTTAAAAATAACAGGCCAGGGATTTAGCTCAGTGGTTCTGCCGCCTGCCTTGTAAGCATAAGGACCCGAGTTCGATCCCTGGTACCAAAAAAATAAAAAAATAAAAATAAATAAAAATAAGACAGGTATTTTTCATAGCTCCTTTCTCTAGGGAGTTGAAAGAGAAGGGTGGGAAAATATTTAACCTACACTTAGAACTTTGGGCCAGAGGTGATGAATAATAAAAAGGTATATTTCTACAATTAAAGTTTTTCTTTCTTTTTCCCCTCTACCTCCTAAAAAAGTGAAGATGTATATTATAGTATAATGACAAATATAATACATTGAGTTCTGCTGGTTCTCGGGTTGAAATCCAGCTACCTTACTAGTTAGCTACACAATCTTAGGAAAGTTTCTTCAATCACTGAGCCTCAATTTCTCCCTCTGTATTGTCAGACAGGTGGGTTAGATGATCACTAAGGTACTGTTCTAAGATTCTGTTATTTCATGTAGCCTAAATTTTCTTCATTGGCATATATAAGAATAACTTGTAAATTGGGAAGCATGTTTGATCACTTGAAAGGGACACATCATGGGCCAATAAAATGAATCTAATCAGACATGCAAAATGCAATATGCCCCTAAGTCTAGGTCCCTGAGTAAACCTCCAAAAGTTAAATAGCAGATATTCAACTTCACAGAGAAGCTATATGTGATTAGTAAAAAGTGACCACCTAGTGCTGCATGATGAAGTAGATCAGGATCACCAGGCATTTTAATACTCACAACTATACCTTTATTACTTAGCAAATCAGAAAGATTTAAGCATTTAGTAGGCAGTCAATAAAGTATGTGCTATGAAATCAGCTTGAAACCCTCCTACAAAGGCATGTCTTTTGTTCCCATGTTTTTGGACATGTAAGAATTGGAGGCAAGGAAATGAGGATTTGGAGATATCTGGGGCCAGCTTGTTCCCTGCAGACTCTGGATGAGCTGTCCCACATAAAAGCAACAATATTGAAACTAGCCCTTTTACACCTTTCTTTCTAAATCTTTGATTTCATTACCTACAGAAATTTGGTTCTGCTCTCCTCATCCCTTGGTCTAACTGAATCTCACTCTGTCATCACTACTACTATTACCGGTCATATTTTCAGTGTATCCAATGGCCTTTTGCTCTTTCTTACTCCCAGGACAATCTT